CGGAGCAGGGCCCCCCGCTGTGCCCCAGCCCTGCCGGCGGCGGGCCCGAGGCCCTGGAGACAGTGGTGTGCGTGCCGGTGCCCGTGCAGGTGGGCGCAGGCCCCGGTGCCCTCTTTGAGAACGTGCCCCAGGAAGCGCTGGGCGAGGTGGTGGCCAGCTGCCCCATGCCAGGCATGGTGCCCGGCTCACAGGTGATCATCATCGCCGGGCCCGGCTACGACACCCTGACCGCCGAGGGCATCCACCTCAACGTGGCCGCGGGTAGCGGCACGCCCGGCGGCGGCCTGGGCGAGGAGGTGCCCTGCGCCATGATGGAGGGCGTGGCGGCCTACACCCAGACGGAGCCCGAGGGCGGCCAGCCCAGCACCATGGACACCAGCAGCATAGCGCTCATGGACACCAAGAAAGGTCTGGGGGGGACCGGGGCTGTCTGGGAAGGGACGGGCGAGCTGCGGCCCCCCACGTGGCCTTCGTCCCCCACGGACGCCCGCCCCTTGTCCACCCCCGTAGAGAAGGAGGACCTGTACCTCCTCAAGAAGGAGGAGAAGGAGGAGCCTGTGGCCCCAGAGCTGGCAGAGCTGGCGGCAACGGCACCCGAGAGCACGGAGCCCGAGGCCGAGGCGGACGGGGAGGAGCTGGACAGCAGTGACATGTCGGCCATCATCTACGAGATCCCCAAGGAGCCCGAGAAGTGGGTGCCGGGCCAGGCTGGCGGAGGGCAGAGGCCAGAACACGCCCGCGGGCCCGCAGCCCGCCTGGCGCAGGAGCCCCGATGCCATGGCCCCTTCCGTTCCAGGAGGCGGCGGAGCAAGCGGTCGCGGGTGATGGACGCCGACGGCCTGCTGGAGATGTTCCACTGTCCCTACGACGGCTGCAGCCAGGTCTACGTGGCCCTGAGCAGCTTCCAGGTGAGGCTGCGGCCGAGGCGTGTTGGGGGGGGTCTTCAGGGCCCTGCCGCCCCACCAGCTCTGGGCACTTGGCCTCACGAGTTGCCCCTGGCCTGTCTTCCACGAGCCCCTCACCCCAGCTGGCGTCCGCGGTGACTCAAACTCCACCTCGGCTTCCGAGGTGGACGCACCTTAACGTCTTCTCTTCCTGCCCCCTTGAGCGGGGCCTCTCTCCCACCCCGAGTGGCTGCTTGGGCCTGACCTGGCAGGTCCCTGCACTGTCCCTCCCGTACCTGCCCAGGCCACCCCCTCCTCTCCTGTGGCATCTGTCCACCAGGAAGCCCACCAGCCCTGGGTCACTGCACTGCCAGGATGTCATGCCTGGACAGGGTGCCCCGAGGCCAGGGACGGGGTCTGGCCATATCTCCATGCCTGGCGCAGAAGGCAGTGCCAGCAGGCCGTCGGATTGGCCCATTCGGGTTCTCGCTGAGCCTGTGTTGAGCACTGACCGGGTGCGGGGCCCAGGGCTGCAAGCTGGAAGCACCACCTTTCTAGCGAGTGAAAGACCGAAAGAACAGAGGAATGAATGAATTGGGGTGTCTGCTCCAGGCCCCGGGTGGACAGCACAGTACCTGCCGTAGGGCTCCGGGATCCCGTCCCAGCCAAACCACTAAGCCTGTGCAGCCTCAGCATTCCCATCCCTAAACTGGCCGCTGGCCAGGCTCTGCACAGGGTGGACTGCTGCCCCAGCTTGGCGCACAGCACACAGTAGGTGCTTACGGAAGCTGCTCTTCAGCTCTGCGTATGCCGCTGGGAGTGCTCGAGCTGGGCAAGGGCACCCCTCCTCCCTCCTCCCTCCTCCTGGCGCAGCTGCCCTCATCACTCCCCGCCTTCAAGGGCCCCACGGGTGAGCCCAGGGCACCCACTTGCACCCCTCTCGCCCCCAGAACCACGTCAACCTCGTGCACCGGAAAGGGAAGACCAAAGTGTGCCCTCACCCCGGCTGCGGCAAGAAGTTCTACCTGTCCAACCACCTGCGGCGGCACATGATCATCCACTCAGGTCAGGCCTGGGCACCCCCAGCACCGGGTCCCCTTCCGAGAGCCGCCTCGCGTGCTCGGGAAGCTGGAGCTAGGAGTCGCCGTGCCACCCACTTAGCATCACGGGGACTGGGTGGAGACCGGCTGTCTCTCTCAGCCCCACACACGGGTCTCACGCGAGACTTAGGGAGCAGTTCCAGGGCAGCGTGGGGACACTGCAACCCTTTTCCAGCAAACCTCCAGAATGGCCGTCATATTTTATTTAAGAAAAAAACCATGGTCAGGACCAGCAGATGGTTCAGGACCAGCAGATGGCGTAATGGTTATGTCGCTGGACTCCCACGTAGTTGACCATGGTTGGAGCCATGACCCAGTGGCTTAAAACTCAGGTGAGCGTTTGTGCATATGTCCCCAAAATCCTGAGAAGAGAAAGGACTGCAGCGTGGCCATCCCCCCCAGAGGATGATTTCTTGCTTTCTCTCTGTCTCTGTCTCTCTAGTAAGCGCATACAACCTATAGCAGAAATCTCTCTTAAAGAAAAAGAAAAAAAAAGAAAAACTATTTCGTTTTTGAAAAAAAAAACAAACAAAAAAAAGTATTACGGGAGACCAGCAGTTGGCGTAATGGCTATGTCACTGGACTCGCACGTAGTCAACCGTGGTTCAAGTCCCAGAACAGGTGGCTTTGACTCACATTGGATGTGTGTGCGTGCGTGCCCAAGATCCTGAGAGGAGAATGGAGGAGAAGGGATTGCGGCGTGGCCATCCCCCCCCTGGGGGGTGATTTCTCACTTTCTCTCTCTGTTTTTCTGGCGTGCACATGTGCCCTATGGCAAAAACCTCTCCAAAAAAAAAAAGTATTACTGCCTTCAGGTGAAGGCAGCTGAATCCCACAGGGCCTACTTTACAGTTCAAGTCCCGGACCTGGTGGCTTGGCTTGGGAAACACACAAGGGCAAATGTGGATGTGGGCCCAAAATCCCTAATGGGAGGAGAGATGGTGAGGAGGGGACTGTGGTGTGACCATGCCCCATGGAGGTGCTTTCTTGCCCACCCCCCCCATGCCCCCAACCCCTGAGTGCATGCCAAATTAAAAAAAAAAAAATGCTGCTTAAAAACAAAGCAAGCATCAGGGACATGCAAATACTGGAGGTGACACCGCCACCTTGGTACGGTAGCATGTGAGGCCATGGCAGCCAGTGTGCCCACCTGGGTGGCAGGAGGAAGAGGGAGCTGGACAGGGTGGGGCAGCCATCTTGGGGCAGGGCCTCAGTGTCACCCTGGCTAGATGCAGGTCTTCCCTGTGGGCTGGGGCAGGTGACTGGCTGTGGGCTCCAGGCTCAGCAGGAGGACATGACCTTCAGGCCCAAAGCTTGGAGGTTGAGAGAAACCAGAACTTGGAATGTTTATGTGAAATTACCCCAAGTGCAAATACCGGGGATGGGTTTGATGGTTTGCACGGAGCCCCTTGGGACTCCAGTTCAAATTCCAGCTTGGGCGCTTCCTGGACGGCTTCCCCCAGCCTCAGGCTGCATGGTGACGCCTCCCTTCCAATGATCTGATCATTATTGTGGAAGGATGTGGGGTCGGGGCGTCTGTGCCGGGAGGCCTGCGAGACGCAGGCAGAGTCCCGTTCAGTGTCGTCGCATCGGGGACTCCCTCCCTCTCCCACCGGGGGGCGTCCTCAGCCCCGCGTCTGCCCGCCCCCAGGTGTACGCGAGTTCACCTGCGAGACCTGTGGCAAGTCTTTCAAGAGGAAGAACCACCTAGAGGTACACCGACGCACGCACACCGGCGAGACGCCCCTGCAGTGAGTGACAGGCCGCCCCTCGAGGGGACCGGGAGGGAGAGGACCCGAGCAGGACTCTAGGGCGGCGCCGCCAGACGGTGTGGGCTTCCC